CCTCACCGCCTTTGTCCATGCCTACTGCCTCTACACTTCAGTTCACTAATTTCCTCAATAAACCTTTATTGAGGATTGTCACCATTTTAAGCACTGTGTTGGGGGCAGAGATAGAAAACTGAAACCAAAGCTGGAAATTACCACATCGCCTGCCCTCAGGGAGCTTTACAATCTAACCGAGGGCCCAACAGAAAGATACTTAAAACACGATGTTAAAGTGCAGAGAGAAAGAGAGGGATGTAGTCTGAGGAGAGCCCAGGGGAGACAGGCTGAAGTGCCCCCCCCAACCCAGGAAGGTTGGGAAGTCTTCTTGTGGGAGGTAAGTGCTGAGAGTCTGAGGGAGGTAGCCCACAGAAGAGGAGGGGAAACCAGAGGGCACAGTGGAAAACAAGGCACAGAAGGGACAGACAACATGGCGTACGCAGGCTGCAGACTACAAGCGGTTTGTTGTATTGGAGCTTAAAGATTGAGACTACAAAGACCAGGAAAACGGTCCTCTCCTTCATGAAAGAACCCGTATCTTCCTCTAGACAGACCCCTTTGTGAGTCACTTATTCACTTTGAACTATATTTATCTGGCTTTATCCATAAAACGTTCATGTCAGTTTCCTTTAAATCTTCTGCAATTTTTAGTGCAATACTTGTAACCACAGTAAGTGTTCAGTACTATGTGTACTTTCTAAATGCAACTGAGGATCATACAGAATCAGGCAGAGGCTGCAGCAAATATATGAACACTACTACAAGTTTAAGAGTGAATGAAAATGTGCAGTCCTCAGATTGTTAGAAGAAAACACTTTTGCTTAACCAAGAAAACATCTCAAGTGAACCTCTCAACAGGATTTTCGAGTTGTCTCTCCACTGTAGGGTTAGGTCACTGAGGAGACATACAGACCACTCTAATACCCTTTGACAGTACCTGTATTCGAATGTAATTCTAACAAATTGAGTACTTTTACTAAAATGAGGTCAAGGTCTTCACTAGTTTTTTTGTTGGGGGAAGAGGAAGGAGCATAAGAACTTTTTAGTATTCTTAGTTGAAGTACAAATAAAGATCCTTAAACTAAACTGCAATTTTATGCAAACATTAAAAAAAATCATACCAGTAATTGCATTTTTGTAAGAGCTACTTTAGATTTTGTGAGCAATATGAAAAAAACATGTAGGTCTAACAGCTAGTAAGTCCTGGAATATTTTGGAAACACAACAGTGTGGAAGAAGATATGACTAGTTTAATGTTTCATTAAAATAATTGAGTTTGAAACTAAACAGCAGAATTTATCGATTAAATTGAATTGTGTTTAGTATTTCATGAAAAACTCAACGTTATAGCACCCCAAACTTATTTTTGTCTTTAAAACATCTTGTTACCCTCATCTTCTTATGTTTTCAGTGCTCTCTGTCTACCCCCATCTTGTCCTTCTCTTTTCTTCTCCCATCACCTGAGCCAAATTACCCTTAGTCCAGGCAGACAAGAATATGGTCATCTGCACAATCGCATTTTGTATCACCTTGCTTATTTCCTTACTGTTTACTTTGATTGTTGTTGCTGATATGTGTCCTGAGAATAAGAACACAAAAGTAGAAGAAACTTTCCTCCCTGAGTTAGCTTGAGAGGAACATGTGCGCATGCGTGTAGTGTACACACACACACACACACACACACACACACTCTTCCTGAAGGAAAAAAAAGAATAGTGATGCTTATTTTTCTTTAGTTTTCTTACAAAGCCCACATCAGAATACACTATGTGTTAGAAATTCATTATATTTGTCTTTTTTACATTAAAAACAAATTAAAATTAAAAAAGAAAGAAAGAAACATCGGGCTTACTGCAGTGGGAGAAAACTAACCTGATCAGTTTTTCACTGAATTAAATGTTTTCTTGATTAGCCAGTGCACTTTCTTTAAAGACTCAATTTCTCCTCTTCGTGTCATCACAAGAAAAGTTTCATAAAGAACATTGTAGAGATGGATGTCAGTTACGACCAGAAACATTTCTTTTGAATAAAAGTTTTAAAAATAAATGTGGCTAGAATATGGTGACTATTAAAATGTTAATCATATAACATCATTAAAGCTGGTTTTATGAAAACAACAAAAACCATAAACATTGTGCTAATTTTACAAAGAATGCATCTTTTGGGAAAAAAAAAGTCAAATTTCATCTTCCTTTGCAAAAAAAGTAATTGGAGAAAAGCAACCTTTATCCATACTTAAAAAAAAAAAAGAAACAGTGGGGTGACAAACTCCATAATGGGTCTTATTAGTGATGCAAATCCCATAATATATATTTTATTATGTAAACATTTTTTCCTGGAGTATATGTAATTTTGGACAGTTTTGAAATGCTGTGTAAATACATGCAGTGTTCTTTTGAATAGCTTGCTTTTCTTTGATTCCAAAGTTAATTATATTCATTTATATATTGAATGACAAATTCTATAGTCTGTATTTCAAATGAATATACAAAGGAATTAGAAAAGGTACTACTTACCTATTAATAAACTCCTGCTAACCACACTTTTTCCTGCCCCTTTTTAAAAGTAGTGCTTACTTTGTTTTAGATATTGAAAATGAATTTAAGTTGATCATGAATATATATACATATATATACATATATATATCTGTATATTACATATTTTTTAAACTCCGTGAATATTCTATCGTATATATTTTATTTGACATTTTGGTTTACATAAGAAACTGTAAATTCAATATGAGGAATTTAGTGTTAAAGGCTGATGAGCTTTGAACTTTTTTTAACAAACAAGGACAGAGCCACTTTGCTTGAATTGCACAGAGCATCTGCTGTGTGTCCAGAGGACTTCTCGTCATCATTCTCCAAATGGGCAATAACTGAAATTATACGTTCTTCACAGTTGTTGTTTTTTAATTCATCTGTACTCAATCCAACAGTGACCCATAGATATTTTTCCACACTTATTTCTTTGTGGTGAAATCCAATGGGCAACTTCTCATAATATCGTTTTCAAAGCTATCTTGTAAAACATAACTAAAGGGGCTCCAGTGTTCTCTGTTACATCAGAATAAGTTCTTCTGTTTTATTTTGAAGCCTGGTTTAAAAAAATGCACAGAAAGGTCAAATCCATTCCACATAGAAATCTCATTCTTTAGAAATATTTGGTAAGATCTTGAATCACTTTGTCTTGTCTTTTAAATTCTGTCATCTGCTTAGATTTAACTAAAATAATTTTTCTTTCGCATTGTGTTAGCTAAATGCATCTGTTCAATTGCTATCCATTCACAGGTAAGAAAATCATGAAAGGAGAATGAAATTAATTTCAAAGTATATATATGGTATCTTTTAAAAGCTGTATTTCATCATCTGGAGAGCTGCAATTTAGTCTATTAAATCTATAGAAGAAGAGCAGGGGGAAATGCTTCCGTTATGAGGAGGGTCAGTCCTAAACAAGTCTATTTTCATTCCCAACCTTCAAAGGTAACATTCTCAGCTTCATGGGCTCCTGGTGGAATATATAATTTGCATCTTTCATTCTTAGCTTAGTTGAAATGGAGCGGACTGGATGTCCACCAGGCCAAAGTATAAACTTACCATTTATCTATTAAAGTCATATTTAATGAAAACGAAGAGAAATTTATTACCTCACTCACTCTCTTGCTCATTACAATTCCTAAAGAACTTTGCCGGGCACATCATCTCGTAGACATCATGATCAAATGTTATTGTTTGCTTTATTATCTCAGTTGGATGGTTGGCTAGTCTAGAATGAAATAGGTTGAAGGCAATCCTCACAGCCTAGAAGTCTGAATGAGGTTCCCATTCAAATGATCCTGGTTGTTTGGGGGTGGGGCGGGGTGATTAGTAAACCAACTGAGCTTACACTGCATAGTAAGCGTCTGGATGCAGCACATTTACATCTAACAAGAGACCCCAGAAAACGTGTGTGTGTTTCTTAAACCTTATGTTCCGAACAAAAGGCTATCTCAGCAACAGACAATCAGCACTGCATTGCTCCCTGGGATGCGAGCAACACACTCAACTGCACATTTCATTCTTCCTCAGCTCCCAGCACCACAAAGCCCCTACTCTCTTCCCACTCCTGGGTCCCCGGCTTGCTCCATAGAAGGGGGTTGGGAAAGCATGAGGCTAACGTCTATGCTGGCGCACCAGCAGCCCGCACCGGGGGCCCCCAGGCGCTGCTTTCCCCGGCCCAAGCCGCCTGGGGGAGGTAGGGAGGGGAACCAGGGAAGCGCGAGAGTGGACCGCACACCTAGACACTTATTATTTTATTTATTCACAAGGAGGCGGGGGAGGCGAACCGGCTTAATTTGGATTCCCCCCCCGAAGTTGCCTCTTCTTAGCAGATAAAGTCATTTTCTGGCTGGTGCTGGGGGCCCAGAGGAGAGTGCGGGTGAGGTCCTGGCTTCTCGGGGCCAGATCCTGTCCTGTGTGCGGAGTCTCTGGGGGTGGGGAAGGGTGGACTGGCCGCAGCTGTCGAGAGGGCCGGGAGCCCGCAGGGAGGGGCCCGCGGGCGCGAGAGCCGCGCAGCCCCGTCCCGGGCCCTCCCAGGCGGGCTGGGGCGCGCAGGGGCCGGCAGGTCACGCGTGGGAAAGAAAGGCCCCTTCCCTCCCCCCACCACTTTCCCCCTCCACCCCAAGGCACTGCTCCCCTTTCCCCAGGCTGGGCCGCCCGGGAGTGCGGACAGGGAGAGCTCCGGGTCCCTGCGCGCGTAATCATGACCTCGGGGCCCCCTCCGGGCCGCGTGAGCGCGTCGCCAAGGCTGGGCGGCCGCCGCGGCCCCGGCCGTGTAACATGACCCGAGCGGCTGGCCGGCCAGCGCGGCGCGGCCATTGAGCCCTCCCTGCCCATGAATCTCTGGCGCGTCTCTCGCTCGCTCGCCCGCTCGCCTCCCGCCTCCCTTTCTCCCCCTCCAGCTCCGCGGGCTCCGTGCGTCTCTCCCTCTCCCTCCCGGTCCTCCCGCTGCCCGTCTCTCTCCACTGCCCGCCTCTCGCCACTGCCTCCCGTCTTCTCTCCCTCTCCGCAGCCTCCGTCTCTTTCTCCCTCTCTCCTTTGAAAACTGATCTTTGGCTCTTAGTGTGAAAGTGATTTGAATTTGGCTCGGCGGCGCTCTGCGCCTGCGCCCAGCCTCTGGCATGCTGGCTCCTTCCAAGCAGCTGTTTTGGGTTTGAAATTCCAACATGGCAGAGGCTGCAGTCCGTCTTCCCTTCAAAAACTTGGAATGATTTCAAATCATAGGCACCTTCACTTAACCCTAGCTTCCATTCATCAGCAAACACGTCGGATCGATGCTACGCTAACCTATCGGGTTTTCGCTCCGCGCGTTCAGGTAAGAGGAGCTTCGTAGTTTTCTACCATCTGTTTAAATTTGTTTTTGTTTTTATTTGTTTTATTTTTAAAGAATATAAATAAATCCAAGACCCGTAATAAAAAGAGATCTTCCAGTAGTGCCGTAAACATTAAATTTAATTTGCATTCGCTTCTATTCTGTACGCCAACCTGCTGTCTAATTTCTCTGTACAAAGTAGCCCTGAAACATTATAATGCATATTTTTGCTGCTTAATCATTGTAACAATAGTATTGGATTAAGAGTTCGCGATAGCAAGAATCTCGTTTTCCGCTATATTGGGCTTACTTAGTACTATCTTTTTACTTCAAAAATAAAAAAAATAAGAAAGCGGAGCCATAGGGTGGGGCTAGACTTTCTTCGGGAACTAACTTCTAAGTAAATAAGAAGTGTAAATAAGAATCTTGCACACACAAAAAGTTGAGGTTAAATTACAGTCTCGTGGCTGGGGGAACGTGAAAATGTCAGAAGATCGGTTGCAGAAAAATGTAAGCACATCATCTTGGAGGGGGTACAGCGTGGTGGGCGTATTGTTGGCAAGGAACGGGAGAGAAAGATGTATAATTTAATGGTATATACAATCCACTGATCCTATTACCGTCCTCCCCGGAGCTCTTGTTAGTTTCAATGGGAGTGAGTGAAATTGACATGGACTTGCATTCCTGGTCATGTGCTTTTTTTCCTTTCTTTCTTCTCCTGTGATCTGAGATCCCCTTTTTGTTGATGTTGCTTTCCCCCTTAATTATATGCATGTAGGTTAAATGAATACCTGACGAAAGGGCCCACGTTTCAAGGCAGTGACATTTGATAGCTGAGAGGAAAAGTGGCTTTAATGAAAAGCAACCTTTGGAATTCCTGCTTGTGAGAAATCCAATTCAGCTTTTTGTGCTGCCAGCAAGAAATGATCAGTAGCACCAGTGTTTATGGTATGTCAGTTTTGGAATTTACTTCCTTTGCATCTAAATAGGAAAGACAAATTAAATAGCATGATAAAAACCATTGAAGACTCTCCTTGGGAAGCAGACGCTCATGATATATAATTCCTTTAAATATATATGTATATTTTAATCTGTCAAAATGCTTGTTTGCTTTTGCTATCACTTGTTTATATTTCAGTTTTGATTAATAGATTACTGGAGTCCACTTTTATCTGTTTTAGCGGTAATCCCAAAGTTGCATGTTACTAGTAATGCACTATATAACCACTGAAGTCAAATGGTATGTAAATTAGTTAAACTCAGCGTGGGGTTTTTTGGGGAGGAGGCTGGGTGGAGAGGGGAGAGGGCGGGAGTGTGGGGAAAGACTGCTTACTAATGAAAGTATATATATATATATATATATATGTACACACACAAAACTGGATGAATTTTTTTTTCTCAACCTATTAATACAATTTGACTATCTGCTCTCTGGATGATTACACTTTGTGGAGTAATCAGTTCTTCTGAGTGTGTTTTTTTGGGTGAGTGAGCGAAGGGGTGTCTTTTACATAAAAATAAAAAATATATATTTTGATTGCTTTAAGTATTTAATGCCTTTTAAGAAACAGTGGTAGTTTTTTTTTTCCTTGCCATTCACTTGTCTGCCTGTCAGCGCTTTTTACTTTTAACCTGTGACAGAATTAAATAATCAAGCACTGAAATTGACTTTGTTTGAAATAGCTCTTTCCTCTTTCTTCACAAAAAAAAAAAAAAAGGTCAGATAAATGGAGTGAGAGGGGGTTTTCAATAGCTCTTGTGACAGTGCCGTGTGTATACTTTATGATATTCAATTAAGACTAAAAGGGAACAATAACAAAAAGATGTTAAAAGTATTTTGCATAACCACAGGGTATATCCACTTTATACTGGTTTGGGTTTTTGTTGTTTGTGTGTGTGGTTGTTTTTGTTTTTTTTTTTGTTTTTTGTTTTTTTTTTTTTTTTGTTACATTTACCCTACCACCATGCATTCACCCTGGAAAGAGAGAGAAGGAAAGGGAGAATGTGAAAGAAAGAAATAGCAGTGGGGCAAAGCTGCCAGGGGTCTGTAATGTGGCCGCGGTTACTGCTCTCTCATAACACAAATGTGAATACAAGGAAAGGCACTACAGGAGCCGTTGCGCGACACACACTTTTGGTTGGACTCTGGTGACTATTGAGCTAAACACACACTGCTCTCACACGATAGAAAAGGATTTGAATTTTGCATTTGGAACTTGTTGACTTTGAAGCGATCAATAAGAAGACTGTTTATTTTAGATGCACATAATTTGCCCTGAGAAATGTTTTAAGGAGGAGAGAGCACAGCTTTTTTTCCCCCGGAGCTGTTGGAGCGAATGGGATTGCCAGATGGGCGATTTCCCTCTGTGATGTTAAAGCTGTAATATATATTCAGAGCAGATTGGGCTGCTGCCTGTGATGAGGAGGATATTACATTTATAAATTTTAAATCGGAGCTCGGACAATGTGCTGAGAGCAGAAATTGGATGGTTTGACTGTTCACCGTATTGATACTTAAATGTGATTTCTAGGTAGTAGTAATAATAATCATTGCAATAATATGTAAAAAACACGTTGGGGTAGGCAATCATATAATTCATGACATTTAACAGCAGATTTAAGTGTGTAAATTGCCCCCTCCTCTGTCTCTGCTTACTATTAAATAATAGTCACATAATTTATTTCTCTGTGTTTAAATGCTTTGCAAATGATGGTCATTCAGGAGCCTTATCACATACTAGAATTCTGGGGAGGAAAAGTTTATATATATGTTTATATTTGTATTCATATATACATATATATAAAGTAGACACTAGTGTATATGTATAAAATAGCATTAATGGTTCCTATTCTGTAATTCTATCCCTCTGATTATTTTTAGATTTTGTTTGTCTCAAACGTGTGGCCTAAAGGAACCAGAACTACAAACCTAAAAGGCTGGAAAGTGGGCAAGTGCTCTCACTCTGGCAGCTCTGCTGTTGCAAATTAAAAGTGTGTTGTGGTCAGGAAATGAAAGCTACAATGTCTCTTTTGAACAAGTCGTTTATCAAGAGAAACATCTATCAGGGACTGCCTTGTCACATTGATTCTCTAAAAGTTAGGTCCGAGGTGGAAGCTGCTTTGATGTTTTTGATCCTAAATTTAATACAACAGAAAAAAAGCAAGGATATTATGACCAGAATAGATTAAAAAAAATGTTTCCTGGAACCAACAAGATCTATTTATTAGTACTGTACTATGTGTGAAGTTTTTTGGACATAAGAGTTGAAAGGTTGAAGAGGAAACCCTAGTCTTTATAAACTGATGGTTGTTAAATATGTATTTATAGTATGTTCAGTAATAGCTGGCTTCTTGGTACACATGGACATTTTGAAAATAGATCGTTTTAAAGGGAAAATTATTTGGAGAGGGTGTTTTGGAACAATATGCAGGGAATCAGAGTTTTCATTCATTCAAATCTTAGAGTTGCCCTCTTCTTTCATCCTCTCTTTTAGTTCTTTATTGCTGTTTCCTCTCATCATTTTATGTGTGCCATGTTAGTTTTTCTTTGGGAAAGAAACAGTTTTTCTATAAAAGCCATTTCCCCAAACATGCTTGCTCACATCATCTTTATTGTTTATTAATTGTGCATGTGGATGGTTATCAGTGTAAACTACATGGACTCATTCAAGTCTTTTGGAATTCCAGCCTGAAAATATAGGTAGGTAACAAATAAACCATGCCATGTATTCTTGAATACGGCATATGTTGCATGCATTATTCAAATTTTAAAAGGTATTGTTCAGAAAATAACCAATTAAGAAAAATTTTTTTGTGAAAGCAGTTAAAAGCAGCCTGCTTCAGTTTGGGAGGCAAAGATAGGAGAGAAGTGTTCCTTTGAAATAGTTTCTGGATACTTGTCTTATACTGCTGTTGGCTCCTTGCTCTTTCATATGGATCTTTCAACAACTAGGCTGATAGACCACAAAGAGTGTGGTAAGAGTTTTGGGAAGTGTAATACTTGCTAATTAATCATGTCCGAAATGAAAGAATCATAGTAGGGTATTAAAATCTCATTGTTGTTTTCCTGGAAGAGAGTAAGACTTCTGTTTGGAAGCTGTATGTGTGAGTTGACTTGCTTTTTCTCTTCTCTTAAAAAAGAGAGTTTATAGGGTCTCCTTAGAATTATTTCAGGAACCATTTTTTTGGAGAGGGGGTACAGAATATTTTCTTTTTCCTGACTATACTGAATCAGTGATATTCTTGAAATTATCTCTGGTATCTACTGAGTGAAAACAGAGATTCTTATAATTTTTTTTTCTTTAGTTACATTAAAGACTCCAGTAGCTGAGGTTCCAGTACTCAGTTGTGGGGTTTTTTGTTTGTTTGTTTGTTTGTTTTGTTTTGTTTTGTTTTCCATGAATAGAAAACCTTTTTGTTGTTTTTATTCATGTTAGATAGGAACTTTGAAAACCTGTTTGTAGGCAGGTACTTCTGATAGACATATAAGAGAGCAGAAATTTTATTAATTATTCTTAGATAGTATAAGAGTATGACCACAGGGGAGAAAAGTAGTTCTTCCAAGAATTGATAGAGAATATCTGTGTTATAACTTGACATTTCCAAGATTGTTTAAGGTATTAGCTACTTGAAAAGACAAATGAGTGATATCACTAGAAGTAAATTCTTTTTCTCCTTAGCTTTGCTTGTTACCTTTTAGATTTTAATATTTTGCTTAGCTCATGCATGGGGACAGATTCCCGAAAGTTTATGTGTCTGCAACATTTTTCAGAATTTTCATCTCAAGGTGAAGACGGCTCTGCTAATGACTCCCTATTTTTGTCTGTGAATGTTTAGATGCCTTGAATGATTGCCTAATTAAGTAATCAGTTTTAATAGTCTGAAATCAGCAGAATTGCTAGGTGTATTTGAAACAATTGCAGGCTTTTATGATTTGTACTTTCCAGTTTGTTCTTAGAATCTTGCTTAATAGAAATGTTTGCTGTTTTGCCTTTTATCAGTATATTCTTAAGTACACATTTTGCATACTACTTTTATAAAGTACCACATTTATTGTTGTGGGGCTAAAATTTAACTACCAGGAATTTAAACTGATTTATAAATTTTTGATTGGGAGAAATTGTTCTGTAGACATTTTTGTGAAGTATTGACATATGCTACTGATCGATAAGACTTGATTAATCAGCATATCTGCTTTTTTATCTCAAGTCATTGAAAAGCCAGAATAAACAAATGGCACAGAAAGCAATGCAATTTTTTTCCTTCAATTAAAAAAAAATCTTATTATAATTGTCTCTTTCTTTGGGGGGCATATAAGGGCTAATGTTTCATTAAAATCAGTTGAACTTAGAAATTATTTGGGGTACTTCTACAAGTCCAAAAATGATTCCATCTTCAATTAACTGTCTCTCTCTCTCTCTCTCTCTCTCACACACACACACACATACACACACAATTATAGCTAAATTTTTTGTCTATGAAAAATGAACACTTTTCAAAAACTGAAAACAAATGCTTGTTTAGCAAGTGCTTTAAATCATGGTTGGAATTTGTAATTTTCTTCCTTTTATTATAAACGTGAATTTGTATCATTAACTTTTTCACTTAACTTATGGTAGAAATTTCAAGCATAGCTGCTTGGACATGATTGCTGATTACTGATCTTTGGGGGTTTTTGGTCTTATCATTCAAATGGCAATTTTACTTGAAAGATGCTCCCTCCAAGAAATGCAGATAGTGGAAATAAGGAGTAGGCAAGAATACGGTGAAAATAAATTGTACTGATAAGTTTGCAGCAAATCAAAAGCAGGTGGGTTGCTGTTTCCTTTGGGCAGCCCCACGGATGCCTGCTCAGGACTCTGCCTCAGCACGGCACATGTGTCTGCTACCTGTTGATGGTAGCCTTAGCAGGGAGACTGAGGCGGCAGAAAAGATAGATGATCAGAAAC